CTTGGCGCCGGGACAAGCGCACACAGGGTTTCTCTGTAATGACCGTGCATGGCACCCATTGGGTTTATCATTCATGAACTTCCCTCTACAACTAATGCAACACTTCTCAACAAGATAGACTTGCCACACTGGAGAAGACCACTGGCTCAGACGTTTAGTATCCTGCAGTAGGCAATACCAGATTTTTGCCCAGTAAGCATTTTAAAGGTTATCTGAAAGGTCCTTACTGGACCTTCCTTAGCCTTGACTGACCCCGCCCTCCCTTTAATGACAGAGTTTTATACTGGATTGAATTTTGTTGATTTGCATCACATTCATATATAAATCACCTGACAGAGTGATTCTAGGTTCTTCTTGCAGCACTGTAATCTCCCCTCTCTGGTACTCTCAATGGCATTCAGAACTTTGTGCACCATCCTCCACTCTCTTGCACACAGATCTTCCCCTCTACTCATAACTTCTCCCACATCCTTCACTCACCTCCAGTTGTCTTTACCACTTCCATGCCTGGATATTGCACCCTCAATTTGCCCCTCTCTTCTAATGGAGCCAAATTCCACCAGCTTCCCCCATTGACTCAGTTCACAAACTTAGTGTCTCTCATCCCTTTTCTCTTCCTTCCATTACCCGTATCCAAGGATATGCTGAGATCTCTTTTCTGATCTTCCTCTACATCAGCATTTACGGAACCCACATTACTGCTTAATTCTGACAAATGATATAGCCATCTCCCCCCTCCCTTTGTTTTTATAACATTTTCCTTTCTGGGTTCTCTGAACTTCCCCCTTCCTGCTCCTCCAAGAAGCTGTTAAAAAATAAGCATTTTTCCCCACTACTCTGATCAGGTCACTGCCTTTTTCATACCATATTACTTCATTTTTTTTGATTTCCTCTTAATTTCAAGGCTTTAGACAACTCTGCTCCTGCCTATAACTTTCTGTTCACTTCCTCCTGCTTTCTATTCTTTATTTAGCTCCTTGACGGTAGACAAATGTGCTTGACATCTGCAGATGCAACTCCTGTGAGAGAGGTCACATCACTTTCCCAGTTCTTTATGCTATCAGAACCCACATGCCAGAAGATTAAGCTAATCTCAAATTGCCTTCCAATCCAAAACTAATGCATCCCCTTTCCTACTCTCCTTTTTGTTTCTTCATTGATACTACCTCTTTGGGAATGTCCTCCTGCTTCTCACGTAGTGGACAACCTTCATCTTCCAGAACATCTCTCAATAAAAGACATTTCACTTGATCTGCGGCACTCCCATGTGCCACCTGCAACTCATACACATGTATCTGAACTAGACTGTCATCTGTTCAGGGCACAGACAGTGTTTTTTTTTACTTTTTGGAAAAGAAATTGTTACTACTAGGACTTGATCTAGTAACAGAAACAAAGGAGAAATTTTACAAATTGTCAAATAATTAACATTTAGAAAGATAGAGGATTTGGTAACAGTTCACAACTTGGTAAATAAGCTTCAGAGAATCCTGACATTCAGCTCAGGCATAGTATCTAGCACACATGGTGAGTTCTCCAAAAGGTCACAAGCTCAGAGGTACATGTCCAGGCCCAAAGAAGGCAGTTGGCGAATACACAGTAAACAAAGAACATCCAAAACTACTTACATGGCATTGCATGGTATATGCTAGGCCAGTATTGTCCACTCTCTCTCTTCAGCCACACACGGACAGTTCTGTAGAGGGAAAGTAAGTCATATTAATTTTCAAGTGAGCGCTAAAGAAAGTTACTAGATAAATAGCCTTTAAAATTAGAATGTTTTGTCCAGAAAATACAAGAATCTCTCTGACTTCCTACTAGCCTGCCTCAATCACTAGCAGTATCTAAGGAGAAGGTTCAAGTTAATTGTCTATGACCATCCCAATCCGTGGCATGTATGCTGAATGCCACAACAGAATCTATTGGTATCTGTGGTAGAATTTTTGATGTTGAATTTTTCCCACTGAAAAATAGAGTAAGGCCACTGACACATTTCATATAATAGCTAGTAATGACAACTAATTACTAGCAACATGAACTGCATTCTAACCAAATGGGCTCCCCCAAAAAAAAGAGGCCAAAGAAAGACCAATCTCCCTCCAGCTCATAGATAAGGCATGGGACTGGGTGGCTGAGATGGAAAAGACTACAGTGCTGCTGCTGTACCCTTGTGGTAGAAAAAAGCAGAATTCAGTCCATACTACTGCCAATGTCACCTCTTTCCATCTGTAAAATTAATTTGAAGAGCAAATTTAGCAAAGCAGAACATGTTGTACGGAGGTGGAAGTTACATGGATCATAGTCCAATATTATTTGAATTTGTATCCAATTATTTCTTATTCATCCTTTAGATACTTAGACATTTTGTAGTATGCAAACAATTTCAGAATTTCTTGTTCAAAGGTTGGAAATGCTTCACAGTGTTCTCGTGCACCTTGGATTCATAAAAGTCAGATAATTCATAGAGCTACCGACTTGAGTCTTTATAGAAATATACTTCTTTCATGGTTTAATAAAACACACTCCTTATGTAGCTCTTGGGAATATATGCTACTCAAAACCCAAGGTGATTTGTCAGTGTCAACACTAGGAGACTCAGTTCACACTATTCAAAAAGAAAGAGTTAGTTACAATCACCTTTTTAGGTTTAATTGCCATTTACATACAAGCAACTGAAAGGTTCAATACCCCTCAGCAGATTTTAAGGAAAACACATCAACTGTGTTTTGAGACTGCAGTCTATCATGCATGCCAAAAGTCACAATTTCCTTGTACTCCTCCACCCCTCTACCATAGCCATCTGTTGTCTCCTGTCTCAATTCCATTCTCTCCACTGCAAAAGCAGATCCCATTTTGATGCTCCAGTGCTGGGTGAGCTCAGCGCACAGTTCTGGGAACATGGCCTTCTGCATCCAAAAGTTATGCAGCCACTGCTGGCCATCCCACGTTTGCCTCACAATCTGCTCTCACCATTCAATACCTGCTCCATGGGCACAGAATTGCCAGTAACCAATTGCAGAACTGGCCAAGTTTCATTCAGTATCCGCAACATCCGCTTCCCCTTAGTACTTTCATTTGTAGCGTCGCACAGGCAGCTACACTGTGGTTTCATAAACACAAAACAAAATCAGTCACCCAGCTTCTGAAGCAGCCACAAGAGCTCAACCAATCACCTTGGCAGGCATGTTTGCCAGTGAGGTGGAAAGACTGAAAACTGGCATAAGAAAATAGATTGATCAGAGGGGATTGTGGGACCTTGACCCCAAATTCCCTTAACTCTTTGAGAGCACTAGTCCGCCCCCCCCCCCCCAAGTATGACCAAGCATTCCTGAAAACATTCCCACAAAGCAATGCGCCAGATGGTGGTGATGGGGATAATGAGGCGCCTTTTCACGGTGCTATGTGGCTGCCATTGAGACAACCTGGCATCATGGGGACTCACTGCAACAGCAAAGGCAGCCAAACGTGAACACACCTCCAGCGAAATAGCTGTGCCAGCTGCTACATGCTGGCAAAACTGCTGCTAGTAAAACTTAGTAGCACTGACATGGTCTTAGATTTAAGCTCCTTGTGGCAGAGAACTCCGTTCTCCTGTGTTATTACGGTGTCTAGCACAATGGGGTCCTGATCCATGGCTAGGGTTCCTCAGCATTATGGTAATACAAATTATTAACATTAAATGAAAAATGTTAATAGCGCTGCTAACATAATATTCAGTATACTTAAATGGGAACAAACCACCAAGTAGCAGCTATTAACAGCACCAGTACAGAAACCCAACGGGTACGCTAAGACAGTGTAAATTTAGACAATGACAAATAAGGTCAGTATGCCAGCATGCTGGCATCCCCCACAAAAATTCATCTGTAATTAGGTTGGTTAGTTTAATAAAATTCTTAGGTCTAATAAATGGTTCACCAAGTAGTCACAGGGGGTATATCTACACTATGGGTTAAGGTCAAATTAAGATACGCAACTTCAGCTATGTCAATTGTGTAGCTGATAGGGTTGCTAGATGGTTTCAAAAATACCGGACACACTTGGCATTACATCATAATCTACAAAATACTGGACATTTATATTTTCTCCATTTGTTTTCCGAGCAGAAAGCTCAAATACTGGAATGTCTGGTTCAAAACCAGACACCTGGCAACCCTAGTAGCTGAAGTCAAAAGTACCTTGATTCGACTTTTGGCAGGGTCCACACTGCAAGAAGTCAAAGGGAGCACGTTCCCCCTTTGACTTGCCTTACTCCTCGTAGAAGCAGGACTACCAGCATTGACTGGAGAACCCCGTCAGTTCGAATTAGCAGGTCTTCACTAGACCACTAATTTGAACCCTAGAAGACTGACAGCAGCAGCTTTGATCTTCTCTGGGTAGACATACCCAGGGTGATCCCCTAGCACTCTCTCGGTACTGAGGTGAGCGAACTCCAATTCCCCCTGTCCTTTGGAGTTGGGAAGCAAACCTGTTCCGCTGTCACAAGTACTTCTGCCCTTTAAGCATACTGCTCTCTCTTATTTAACAAACCAACTTTTTACTTTTCTCCAGGAGAGAGTTAAAGCAAAGCTTCCAAGTGAGCTCAGAGATGCAGTGGTTTCCTCTCTTCTGAACAAGGTGAATGTAAAACACAAACAGGCAGTGAATGCTGTTGTTTTTCCTTTCCCCTCCTCTACAGAGCAGAGAAGACTTTAAACAAAGGCAGCAAACAGACCAGCATCACAACCCAGACTAACAGTAGTCTTCAGTCTTCACTTAACACTGATCTTAGTAGTAATGTTAGCTCTGAGGTGCAGAGTTTTTGTAATATAGCATTTAAGCTGCTAAACTACTCCCAGACCCAAGAACTTCCAATTTTGATTCTCCAGACTTCTTTCCCAGAAGGCCAGTAAACTATCTGTTTCTGGGTCCTGCAAAATAATCCATGATCTCCTCACAAAATCTGACCTGCAACACTGTAATCCATTCAATCAGCCAATCCCTGCATCATACTAGTATGGCCTATTGTTGTTAAATTTCCAATGTTGTATGCTTCTTTGGAACCAGAACATCACACACTTTGCTGTACTATTACCACAGTATGGGAACAAAGCCTTTACCAGCCTGCAGCAATAGAAAGACAAGCAGCAGTCTAGACTAAACCTGCCAAAAAATACCTCATCTGCAAATTCATTAACTGCCAGCAACTAGGTGGCTATGTTCAGATGAATTTTTTAACCTAATTTTCTTTGAGTTTATCATCTCCCAAAATATTTTAATTTTTTGGCTAGTCCCCAAAATATCCAGAATTACCATTGTTAGCACTGCTACCCTAGCTGAAGACTGTCATACTCTATTCCACGAAGATTTTAAAATGGAAAGTTCTATAGAAAATTTTAGAATATACAGTACTAGATTATTAGAATAGATGGATTATTTGAATGGTGTGCTCCAAACTTCCTCTCTCAACCTCCAGCATCAAATCAGGCAGCAGAAAACTAAGTTCACATTTAATCTTATTTTTTCTTTACATCTTAAGTTTGTATTGTGAAAATAATTATATTAGTTTTTAGAGACCTACTGAATAATGATAAATCCTTGTTTATAGTTTAATATCCTTTGAACCGAAGAACGCACTCAGTCCATCTGAGACCATCAGAAAACAATGCAATGAACTCTCACATCTTCAAGGCTGCATTACTTTCCTGAAAGGCTACATTTTCTTTGATGAATACAGTCCTGAAGAGTCCAGGATCCTTATTAAGAACTTCGGTAATAACCATCTCTATTAGATGGTTTATCCACATTATTTTTATTTATAGTGATGCTGGCCATTTCTGAATAGAACAGAAATTGAGCAGGGCCCTTAATCTTTCCATAGACATTTAATTTGCTTACAAAATTCAGGAAGCAGAATAAACATTTAACATCAGGAACTTAAGGGCATGGAAGAAGCCAACTATCCTCTGTACAGTGACTCTTTTTCAGCCTACATTCTGCACATTTTTCTACATCTCTTGGTACAATATGGTTGGCCAGAAATTCAACCCAGAATTTTTAAAACCTCATAAGCGAAGTACAAATAAAAGTAGTTTAAATGGATTTATTATGGTAATAAAGCATAGAGTATCTCTTCTGGTAGCTTAGTTACTGAAGTGTAACACAGCACCCACCCACATGAAAATCCATTCTTCAGCTGCTCTACAATGCAAGTCACATTACCATGGAAATGAACTGTCCCTTTGAAAGAGAAGTCATATTTTGTGCCCAGTTAAGCAACTTAAACTTTTTTCTGGGCGTGCTCCATGAATCAATGGACACTTCTCTCGTTCTTTCACAACAGATCTTTGTGCAGTCTAGAGACAGAAAAACTGCATCAAGTGAACAATTATGCCACCCAAGGAGTGACACTGCACTTTCTGTATCCCTTTAGTACATAATCTTATTACTTCTTTATTTTATTGCCACTTTTTAAATACAAAATTGTTCCAGTTTCTACTTTCTTCTTCTACTTCTAGTTTCTTCAAGGAGTGTGTGTGTTCATGCATGCAAGTCCAACTATTCTGTTTGACAAACTACTACATAATGTTACTCAATAAGCTACACTTAATACTTTTGGACCATTGACAAAAACACTTTTCCCAGATGTTAGATTGGGGTGGGCAAGATTCAGCTAATCACGCTTTTTAATCCATGGTGCACCCCACCAGGACCCTT